GCAATTAACCTCAATGTACTGTATATTGTACATGTGTACTGTGCAATGTACTAAATATATCCTATATTTTAATTACATCGCTAGTATTACAACATAACAACGTGCTTATAACAGGATCTTTAAAACGTACGATAGCAACAAATAATATCAATAAAAAAACGGTGGTAAAAATCTTCTTCTGGTGACAAGTAGATTTCTAATTGTATGCTTAAAATGTATCGCTTCAATAATTGTCGTTAAAACAAGGATTTTTTTTATGATTATACAATGAGGAACATCATGGCCGTATCACAGTCTGACTTAAGATGATTACATTTGAAGGTAACCGATAAATAATTCCACAGTAAAGAGTAGTTTTCCTCAATGTAAAGAACAAATATTATATCAATTATCGTTAGTAAATACAAAAGAAAATATCTSTTTTTATATCTTTTATTAGTATAATATAAACATGCCCTAAATATGCTTAATGATACATATAAAGACAGTAAGAATATTATAATATTTATAGGTACTGTACCTAGGCAATATTTTTTTAATTTAAAATTTGAATACTTATAAGTTATAAGTTAAAAAGCACTTAGAATTTTATTACGAGAAGCCATATTATTTCAAAAACCTTTACGCTCGCATATATGTATATAATATAGTATTATACGACATTATTAAGGTTAAGAATTTAAAAATAAATTTTWAAAAAAAGAGTTAAGGTAACTTCAACACTGAGTTCGTTTAGATCAATACAATAAGAGGTTAAATAAGTTTCATCTTTTTTTTTTTTAAGAAAAAAATTCAAAAAGGCCTCGAACTTAAAATTATATAAACTCACTTGATTTTTAAAGATAGCTCTAAATGCAATTCATGTTGGTCAAGGGTGTAAATGACAAAATGTGGGAGGAATAGTTAAAAAAAAATACAACTATGAAAATGACAATGGAACCCGTATAATAAACTAAGATAATGTACGTGGAATATTTTAACAATGGCCGCATTAGTTATTACAGGTATAATTATGTCGATGGTAAAAATAAAAAAAATAAATAGATTTTTGACTTATCATAATCTAGCACCATAGGCCACGCATGCGTAGATTCTCGTTAAGAATAACATTACATATTAGCCATTATTGGTATAATACTGTAAACCAATAGTTTTATTTTGAAAATTTGCAGATCGAACTAGCGTCTTTGCTTTTGTATTTATAAGCCCTATTGTATACACGAATGGTATAATTACATGCAAAAACATGCATATCACTGGCAAGAGAAATACTCCTTTGAACATAGCCGACRGACTTAATGCGGTCGAGATGTATGGCAAGAGATATGTGCTGATAGGTATTGTGACTACCTATTGGAAACGTATGTGTATATTCTATAATATATTCAATGGAAAAATGATACGTAGTTTATTATCACGGCACATGTAGGTAGATAGGCAGGTACGGACCAAATAGGTCCAATAATGAAGTCGAATAGTAAGTTGTTGCGATAAAGATGATATTTATTAGAGCTACAACGGATATACTATGAGTGCATACGCGGGGAACGTCTTGTCTCTATCATTTTCTTTTGCTTCGTATTAAATATATATTATAGTTTTAGCGACAAAKAAGAATGTTTCCATCTTTGAACGAGTCTGGTTCAGATGGAGCATAAATACGTATTGCTAGTTTTAAATAATTCGATAATAAAATCAGACGACACTGCGAGCTGAATTAATGCATTGTTCTAGTGACAAAACAATCAGTTTTGTCAAGATAACATTATATACTAAGGAATACAATTCGTACGAGTGTGCGTATGCGTATGCATATTGACTGTATTCAGTATTGTAATATATTTTATATCCTCCATAAACTCTTGTCGTTTTCCATTATCAATTGAGGCTGTATTTGACTTTCATCGAAATCGTTTTTCACGTWCTTAACATATTTTACGTTTATCTAGTAGGTATTTAGGTATCACTGTAGCCTATAATGCAGTATCCATTGTTGCCTCGCATTTACTTGACAAGTATTTTTCTTTACTAAAATTGTATTCAAGTTTTGATGTGATGTCTTCTATAGGTACAGTAACGAACAAACTCAGATGTTTGGTTTTTAGTACGAAGACCTTATTATATTACACTGTGATAAATCTATTCTTATATAGAAACTTCTCTATGTGCGATATATATTTATATATAAAATCTGACAAACCGTTATGCTCGTAGTGAATGTACAGAATAATGTAAACATATAACATGTTATTGTTATTATATTATGTAGCTGTCACCTAAACATATTTTTTGAACAATTCTTATTTCGTGACGAACTTATTTAAAAATCGTGGTTAAAAAACACTTGGAAATTTTCGTCGAAATAGTGACGGTTAAATTTGCATATAGAAAATTCCATTAATATAATAATATATTATACTATACAAAAATCGAATTTAGATAAATGCATAATAATAATTAATAACAACAGACGTGTATGCGACTACAGTATTTATTATATGTATTTCTATGTGTAGTAAAATTAAATTTTAATACTTGAGAATAAACTGAGAAATACATTTTCACCACTAAGAGGTATTTTGATTTTTAAGTTTAAAACCCTTATCAGGTTATTTTAATAATACAGTAAAAGTTAAGTATAGACGCATTAGTATTACATTATATAAGTCTCCACCAAATGAATGATTTATTCTTTAAGGTACCTGGAAGTATACTCTAACACTGTGATTGTCATAATCTAAGTACAATTTTAGAGTAAATGAGTAACTAAATATATGTTATCAAATTAGTAAAAGCGAATAGGATTAAGACACTCGTCATTAATTGATTGTAATACCTACAAATAAAAATTAATTATTAATGGATTAAACATTTTCTATGCTGATACGGACTTTTAACATTACTTAGGTTACCTACTGGGTACTACTTGGGCGATTGTAAACTCTCCTGATGCTAAACTCTCCCGGGTCTACTCCAGTACTACCTGACGGAAACGTGTAAACTCTCCCGGGTTTATTCCTGTACTACCTAACGGAAATATGTAAACTCTCCCAGGTCTAGTAAAAATCATAAAATAAATTTAATATACATTTAAGTTGCGTTTGAAAATATTCGATCAAATATAATAACAATATAAATTAATGTCTTTAGATGCTATGAGCTATAATATTATAGTCAAAATTGAAAATACAATAAAAAATAAAATTTCAAAATTTCAAAAAATCTAATATACATTTAAGTTTCTTTTAAAAATAGTCAATAATAATAATGATATAAGTTACAAATACAAAATATATGTAAAAATGTTAAAATTATTGTTTTTGATAATAAGAACATACAGATTTTAAAAAAGTTAGGGATTATATTTGTTTTTTCTAAAAAAATGTTTTAACATTTAAAACAACTCAGGAAAGTTAACATACTTAGGTAACTATAAAGTTAACACGGGAGAGCTCACACATTTACTTTAGGTAAACATAATTTTGACCCGAGGAGTTTACACATTTACTTCAGGTAAACATAATATTAACCCGCGAGAGTTTACCATCGGGAGAGTTTACCACCACCCAACTACTTATATACGAAAAGTGGTTGCTAATTATCACAGAATTTATTTTAAATATTAAGAAYAAGCAAATTTAAATCAACTTTAACTTTTAAGTTTAAACGACCATATTGTGTTAACTTCAAAAYGATCTTTTAAAGTATTTATTAATGAATCAATTATTTGTGAAAAGGAAAATGATGAAGTTCATAAACCAACCTTTCAAGCAATTAAAAAAAAAGTTTACAACACATGATAACTATAAACATTTGAATGATTTTATACGATTAATTGTATATAATTGCCTTTAATAAACTATTATAYGAATTTTAGTACTTTCAAAAGTAAATAACCCATCTACATAGCCACAAATCATGTTATACATTTATAAATAGTAGCATTTTCTGAAAAACCGTGACTTTAGGTATAACATTTCGTAAATAAATAAAATTATTCATATTAGATCTGGATTCTGTGGACAGCAGTATAATGCCTGTTAACTGTATACACACAATTATCCAACAGTAAGTTTCGAAACTTTCAGCATTTAAGATAATCTTAACATTTTAGGTATTATATATTCTATGAAAACATTAAGTTTGCCTTAAATTGTTTGATATGGTGGGTGTATATTAAAACCTAAACAATAAAAGATAATATCTAATGTTTGTTTTTTATAGGTATACTTGTATTTGATTGTAATAAAAATCAAATGCCCATATATAAAAATAAGTATTAAATGCAACTTAAAACGKGTGCTTGGTGGAAGACGGAAGTCACTGTGCGTTTTCCCACTCCTAGGACCAAGTTCGTATAATACTAAAATATTCATGCCTAGCGGTTAAATGTACTTAAAAAAATATAATGTTGGTATATAACATAAGTATGGTATATGTATAATATATTATAATTACAAATAAAAAGAAAAACTAATGAATATAGCAGTATAGTACCTATATATTTGTAACTAAATCTGACGTCTGTATGTCTAATATTAATTACGGAATAGCATTAATTTTGAAATCAATACTAATACACTAATTGCTGATTTTAATACAGTAATACTCAAGTTTATAACTAATAACAATGTTCACCCATATTATCCATATCAAATGCGCAGATAAAAATATAATAAAGACGCTCTCCCTTATGTATGTGCAATAAGCTGCTTTGTGGTATGCAAATATCATGAATATGATATACAATTTGTTGATCATAATATTCATACTCTTCTTAGGAGCGTTAAAAAAATCGCGTMTTTTATCACATTTCTACCCAGCAAGAAAGTATAGCTCTCTAGACATACACCTTCAGTTCCAAAAAAAAATTGATTAAAATAATAACTGGTACCTAACACCTAAGCAACTATCATCTACCTATAAATGTATCATACACATTATAGTATCCATAAAAACAACCAAACGAACTTAGATTTAAAATATATTGTCTCAAATACCTTTGATCAGTTGAGCGGCAGAAACGGCAGAAACGACCAATAATACGAGGAACGCGCACCAAAGGCCGCACTTGCACAGCATCTTAACGGTCCAAATTACTCGTATCCATTATGGTTTTTACGCAGCTCCGGTTCAAAGTTATCCGAGAAATCACGCAGGGACGACACTAGAACTACACAAATTTTGCCATCGGTTCGCGTTCGCACAGTAATATTATTATGATTATAATTTTAACACACACACATTTCGGTATTTAACCCATTTTATAATTATACTGACCATTTATAAATGATAATCACTCAAAATTTATCACAAAAATAGTAAATAGTATTGAATATAATATAATATGTGTGTTTGAACATTTATCGATACGATCGATGACGCACGACTAAACTAATTGAAAAAGTAGATAAATTAATAAAACGAACGACACAAAGTAGGAAGAGCCACGACCGGCGTGCGAGACAGACTGACTAGTCAATCTGGCCGTGTCTGGTTTTGGCGGCACGCGGTCGCTGTACAACACGCTTACCACAGCGCCACCTATAAGATCGGTTCAGTCGACGTTATTTGTGCTTTGCACGTACCGTTTTTGGACATCGTTTCAAATTGTTGAGTACCAAAGCCCAAAAGTTTATTTAACATTTAACTCAATTTCCGTCTGCCATGCCCCATGGGTCAAGAAGACTGAACTGTTTTTGGATAACCGATTTCCCGTGATTTATGAATTATATGAACATTATTCATGAATACTAAATTTTAAAATTACAAGCGATCGACTTTGATCTTTTAAGTCGTCAACGATCGGTAAGTTTATTCATCTCTTTAGTTGAAAATGAAAATGTATAATATCGGAGTTCTCTAACGTTCAAARTAGACAAACGAGAAAGGAAAAAACAAACTTTGAACAAAATTATAGAAAGTTGAAACTCTGGAAGTGTTTTAAATCTAATTCACTTAAGTAGATACTTAAATATTACTTAATATACCAGTTAACTATCACTTGAGAACTTAAAAAAACCAAAATTATACGAACACAATCATTGACACGGTTAGATTTAGTAGCTATTGAGATGGATAATATAATTAATACATTTTGATTAGATACTTTTAATCTTTTATTCTTGTTTATCATTAACGTGCCGTAATTAAATTAATATGGTAAAATTGAATTGGTTAAYTGCTGAGCAAATTTTATTCGAAGAGTTAATAATGATTGGTTTAATAAATGATGCGCAGTGACGGTCGCAAGTTCAAATCTATCACAAATTTATGTTTTTTAATCAATAATTATAAGTTTGACCACGAATATAACTATTATACGCTATGTTCTAAAGGAGAAATCTTTCCGCAACTTATTTCTTCATTACCAATTGTATATATTACACAGATTTTGAAGACATTCATTTGTTTTTCCCATCGTGTTTGCGTAATAATTAATCAGACTTGTTTTTCTTTTAGGTCTAATAGTTAATTATGTTCTGGATTTTTTGAAATAACTAATAAGTGTATAATTTCATATTCAATTATATAATATAAATAACTAGAATCGCGGAAAAAAGCCCATAAAATAAACCTAATGGAAAAAAATCCCAAAAAATAAATACACCAAGGAAAAAAGGCCCATGGAAAAAAGTATAACAAATATAGGTACTCCATAGTTAAACAAAATTTGTTAAATCTAAAGTATAAAATATAAAACAAATTTATAACTGGATAAAACTGTGCTGGTAGGACTTGTAGGTGCTAGGAACTATCTCAACAACCAAGTAATGGAGTACTGTTGGCAGTGGCGGCGCTAGGCGTGGGCGGTGTGGGCCATTGCCCACTGCCTCACACCTCAAAGGGCCTCGCGTTCTATAGGGTTTTATAATTAACCATAGAGAAATATGACAGAAGTTAAAAAATTTTTTAAAAGGGCCTCTTTAAGTCTACTTTGCCCACATGTAACTTTTACCTCGCCACGCCACTGACTGTTGGAGTGTCAATATTAAATTATATTGGTAAATACTAAATACCGAACATTTTAAATTAAATTAAATGTCAAAAGGCTTATCAATTATCGGGTGATAAAAATGTAATTTATTGACTCGTGGTCCATAAATGAATCCATTATCCTAGTATCAAACACCCTACATAAACTATAAATTTGAGCAATGAAAAAGAAGCTCATATAATTTCAATAGAACGAAGAATAACGATGATAATTATTTTTTTGTAAGTAATTCAATTTATATTATATTTATTATTTATATTATTTATATATCGGATGATTCTTTTATCTAAAGTTATTCTTTAAATAACAAAATGTTTGTCCACTACTCCGGTTGTCTAAACTTTAAATGCGTATAACTCATTTAGAATATGAAATTAAAACTCTATGATGTCATTCAAAAAAGTAAAAAACTTAAACAGTTTTCAACTAATTTAAATTAAATTAATATTTTAAATAACGCTACTTACTTATAAAGTATAATGTATATGATTTATATAATATAAAATATATTTAGGTAATAAAATGTTAAATGTTGTCATTGACGTTCATTTTGGTAGTTTATACGTCATTTATTATTTTGTAAATTATTGAACTAATATAAAACCAATGAAGGTAGCAAGCTTTACCGTAATATTTATTTTGTTAAGGTAATATGTGGGACAACATATATAATAACAAAAACACATATTTTGTCACAAAGTTATCAAAATGCCAGAAACATTTCGGTATCTCACAATTTTTTATACTTCAAGTCATAACATTTTATTATTTATATTTAATATCAAATAATTAAATACATAAAAATACACACAAATCTAAGCTCAAGTTATTAAAGGTCTTTGTCTAGAATCAATTACAACTAATTAAATTTGAAGTTTTTTAAAATCTAAAATTTATAAAAAATATTTGGGTAAGTACTCCATTAATTATAATTTTAAAAGAACTACCTTAAAAGTGGAAAATTAGGAATTTTTAAATATTTTACTAGTACCTATAAGGCTATAACAGAGAATAAGGAAAATATTAAAAAATACTGAGGTACGAATCATAAGTTTTAACACTATAATAATAATTACTAATCAGTAGAAAATAATACAATATAAAATATAAAATATAAAATGGAAAATGTTCTCAAAAAATAAAAATATTGACAAGTAAACCAAAATYAACAAAAGTAGTAAAATTAACTAATGTGGCCAAACTTACGTACGAAAGTCGATTTTTCTCACCTCTTCTCGGACTAGCTGTAACCCGTCGCCCTAGACTTTGCATTCTATAGGTCTTCTCGAGTCAGGTCCCAACCGTAATGAGAGCCATGCTTATTCGACCGCCTGTCTGGTCCTCTACTATTATTTATTCATTAGGATCTCCTCCAGCTTCCAGAATTTTGTTAAATATCCTAAACGGCTCTTCAGCTCCTGTAAATAAAGATATCCTGTTTTATTGGTTCGCTGGAAGATCCCCAAAAAACCGGATCAAAGAGGATATTAGGGATAGGCTGCAACTTGTTTGCGCAAAAAAACACAACTCGATTACGCAGATTTATTTTTGCTACCTGTGAAGTAAATTAGTATCCCATTTCGTTTATGCACAGATTTTCCTTCTCACTTTAACAAGCTTAGGATAATGCTGATAATGTTTTTTTCTGGATTCATACATTGATCATCGTAGCAATTTTACACCATTATGTTCTAAGTTTGTTGCAAAATTCTCTTATATTACTCTTCATGATTTTGAGTACCATCGGTTACTTTTATAATTTTTTTTAATGTGTATTAATAATAACACTCGCAGGACAAATTTTTATTACCTAGTACATCTAAAAATGTAATAACTATACTAATTAAAACACGATATTTTCTTAAATTTATAATCATAACTACTGAAACTGTACTAAAAGTAGTTAGGTTTGAAATCCAAACCTATCCAAAATGATATAATCTACATTATCGGTAATTAGATAATATTGCTATCAAATAGTTGATAGTTTGTATTGCAGTCTGTAGTAATACACCTACAATTGTCAATTATACATGTKTGTGAATATGTCGTTGTGCGCAAACAACTGATCGATTTTCAGGTAAACGATTGATTTCGTTGTACTCAAGCGAGTTGTTGATTTTCAGATAAAATATGTTGAATGTGTGCAAATTAGTTGCAGCGTGGGGACATCAGAAGACGTTTAAATTCATTTTAAACCTGTCCAAGTAATGGCAATTGAATAAGTTGTGTGCCGTGAAAATACATGACGTATCGTTCATATAGGAAACATTGCAGGCCCATCCGATGGGACAAACTCGAGTTGGGTCCCAGATTTCGAAAACAACACGAGTTGGGTCCTGGTATACTTTATGGAGTACATTAGTTGGGTCCCGGTATATTTTTTGAGTCACAAATGTTGGGTCCCGGTATATTTTTTGGAGCACATGAGTTGGGTCCCGGTATATTTTATGCAAAGGTGGGCAAGTTAATGAAAATAATTGAATAAAATTCATTAAAATTAAAGTTAAGATATAAAATTAAATTAACTTAACTCAGTAAAAAMTTGTATTAATTTTTTTTTCCAAGTCATAATATTCATAAGTCATAAATTGCACGAGTATTTTGGTTTGTATAAACATTTATCAAGTTAAACTTCACTGTTGTAAACATAAAACTTAAAATTATTATTATAGTACATACTACATTATTACTAGTTACTAGAAAGTTATAGGCCACATCTATACATAAAAATATCCATACAATAATGATAATTAACTATAAAGAGCTTCAGTTAAAACAATACACAATTAACTGAATCAGTTTAGCCAGTGGAAGGCGTGTGCGATCGGCACTGACTGCAATATTACCGCGGACCCAATTCGAGTATTATCAAATATTACCGCGGACCCAATTCGAGTATTATCAAATAATACCGCGGACCCAACTCGTATTTTTTTTAAGGGATCAAATATCTCGGGACCTAACTCRCGTTTTCCCATCCGATGGACTTACCCATTATACCTAGTGTACCTAATTTTGTAGAAATAAATAACAATAAATAATTGTATTACCTATTAAAGTTATCTAATGTTTTATACATAATATAATATTATATATTTATGTTGAAAACTTTAAGTATATTATAGTATATTTAATTCAGTGCTTCAACAAAAAATTTGTTGATAATAGAGTTATAGGGGCAATTTCGATAATCCTTTTAGATATTCAAAATATATGAAGACTAGTGAAATAATTAAAATGTGACACTTTGTAATATATATTGTATGGTCATATCAAACATAA